TGACGAAGAAACTCTCTTGTGTTGAAGTGCTCGATCACTCTTCACTCCGGCAGGGCTTCGCCAATTCTCCCAAAACTCCAGATCTGAAAAAATGAGGCTTAAGGCTTGTATTTATAGGCATGAGGGGTTGCGGAGCGGTTAAAACTGTTTAAAGGGGTCAAATCCGCATTGAGACACCCTAGGGGTGTCTTGGCCTGGCCGAGACACCCTTGGGGTGTCTTGGCTGGGCCGAGACACCCTTGGGGTGTCTTGACTTAGCCGAGACACCGTAGGTGCCTCAGTTTAGCTTTAAGACGTTTTCAATGCCCGTTTGACTGTTTTCGCTGTAACTCCTTTGTCTGAACCCGGATCTAAGTGATTCCAAATGCGTTGGAAATCCGACAAGGAGTTCTATCAGCTCCAATGGTTGAATCATCTGTTGAATGAATGAGACACGAAGGGCGTTGTTCCTTTTGTAAACACCGCGGGGCTCTCGATTAGCCCGTACCTTCGTTATTCCGAAATTCTGTCTGCTCACGTAGTTCGTCGATTCACTTCAAGCGTTCATCGATGTCAATCGAACTCCTGTGAACCGGATAGTGACGTTCATCGTCGTTCCTTAACACTGAGCTGTTCGTAGAGACTTATAGGCAATTTTCGATGCATACATTAGCGAAGAACATTATTTCACTTGGAACTTTGGAGGCAGCTGGCTATTGGGTGATCTTGGAGAATGCAACTCTGAAGGTCATGAAGAGATCCATGGTGGTGATGCGAGGTGTCAGTGAAAACAACCTATATTACTTGAAGATCAAGACTGTTACAGGGGGTCGGACAGCTTCTATCACTACAGAGGAGGCCACTACCAGTTTATGACATATGCATTTAGGACACACTAGTGATACGTCCCTGTAAGCATTAGCAAAACATGGGCTATTGAAAGATGCGAAGACCTTTAAGATAGAGCTGTATGAGCATTGTGTACTTGGGAAGAAGGCGAGAGTAAAGTTTGGCACCACTATTCATAATACCCAAGATATATTGGAATACATTCATACAGATGTTTGGGGCCCTTCCAAGCACACATCACTTGGTGGGGCCAACTATTTTGTCACTTTCATTGATGATTATTCTATGAGAAATTGGGTATACCTTATAAAACATAAACATGAGGTCATGGATATTTTTGTGGAGTGGAAGAAGAAAGTGGAGCTGCAGACAGGTAGAAAGGTGAAGACTCGGATATTTTTGTGGAGTGGAAGAAGAAAGTGGAGCTGCAGACAGGTAGAAAGGTGAAGACTCTTCGTTCGAACAATGGAGGAGAGTATAAAAGTGATCAGTTTTTATAGTTTTGCCGGGATCATGATATTAGGTGAGACTTCACAGTTCGTGAGATACCGCAACAGAACGGGATGGCTGAGAGGTTAAACCGTACCTTGCTTGAGAAGGTACGATGTATGATGATACAGAGTAGATTGTCAAGATCATTTTGGGCCGAGGCGTTGGTTTATACAAGCCATCTCATGAATAGGTTGATGTGCAATACGATACAGGGGAAGACTCCTATGGAGCGTTGGTCTGGTTTGGTGGCTAGTGACTATGAGTTGCTTCGGATATTTAGGTGTCCAGCTTATTACCATGTCAGTGATGGTAAATTAAATCCAATGGAAAAGAAAGCAGTCTTTGTGGGCTTTAGAGAAGGAGTAAAAGACTTTAAATTATGGGATCCACATGATAAGAAGATAGTTATTAGCAAAGATGTTACATTCGATGAGGCGTACATGATGAGGCCTCAAGTCCCTCAGTAGGTAGAGGGAGACCAAACAAGAGGGATATCACAGCAGGTGGAGGATGATGTGACTCCATCCACTCCAGGTAGCATTTTGTCCATTAAGGATCCTACAGAGGTGATACTGGGAGGAGATTGGACGACAATCGGGCATATAGAGGATACAATGGATAGTGAGACTCAGGAACAAGGTCATGTTTAGGAGTCCATTGTAGCAAACAAACCTAAAAGAGTGATTCATCGGCTAGCTAGATATAATGATGTCATGGTTGCATATGCCTTATCAATTGAGGTTGTTGATGATTTGGTTCCTTCTACATTCAAGGATGCAGAGTCTAGCTCTGATTCGATCAGGTGGAGGTAAGCTATAGAGGAGGATATGCGCTCTCTTCAGAAGAATGATACTTAGGAACTTGCAAAGCTACCGAAGGGTAAGAAGGCTATTGGATGCAAGTGGGTGTATGTAAAGAAAGGGTGATCTTCTATTGGGGACATTTGTTACAAAGCCAGATTGGTTGCCAAGGGTTATGCACAGCTTGAGGGTGTTGATTACAACGAGGTATTCTCACCTGTTGTAAAGCATTCGTCGATTAGGATTCTATTGGCATTGGTGGACAGTTGGATTAGGATTTCGTCCAGATAGATGTTAAGACAGCCTTTCTACATGGAGATTTAGAAGAAGAGATCTACATGACATAACCTATGGGGTTCAAAGCTGTAGGAAAAAAAGAATTGGTGTGCAAGCTGAAGAAATCTCTTTATAGATTGAAGCAATCGCCACGATAATGGTACAAGAGATTCGACGGTTTTATGATTGGCCGAGGGTACATGAGGAGCCCATATGACCCATGTGTTTATAAGCACAAGCTACAGGATGGTGAGTACATCTATTTGTTACTATAGGTTGATGATATGCTTATTGCCTCTAGGAATTCTTCGGATATTCGAAAGTTAAAAAAGAAGCTGTCATCCGAGTTTGAGAAGAAGGATCTTGGAGAGGCGAAGAAGATATTGGGTATGAAGATCGAGAGAGACAGGATGAAGGGGAGATTGAAGCTTACACAGAGGAGTTATCTGTCGAAGATGTTGAAGAAACTCAGCTTTAAAGGAAATGCAAAGGCAGTGAGTACTCCATTAGCTCCCCACTTCAAACTTTCAGCTAAGATGTCGCTTGTTTTAGTTGAGGACAAAGCACATATGTCGAAGGTTCCATATGCCTGTACGGTGGGTAGTTTGATGTATTCTATGGTGTGTACGAGGTCAGATTTATCACAGGCCGTGAGCATAGTATCCAGGTACATGCACGACACTGGGAAGGGGCATTGGGAGGTCGTGAAGTGGATTCTTCGGTATATCAAAGGTACCGTGGATGTTGGTTTGGTATTTTAGAAGAATATGGAGACAGGGCAGGATTATATTGGATACGTAGATTCAGATTACGTGGGGGATCTTGACAAGCTCCGGTCTACTTCTGGGTATGTGTTCACATTGGTAGGAGCACAGATATGTTGGAGATGTACACTTCAGTCTACAGTGGCTCTCTCTACTACAGAGGCGGAGTATATGGCGGTGACTGATGCTGTAAAGGAGGCTTTGTGGTTGCGTGAATTGTTGGAGGACTTGGGAATATCACAGGAGACCATTCGAGTGTATTATGATAGCATGTCAGCTATCTATTTGGCAAAGAACCAGGTCTATCATGCACGCACAAAGCACATTGATGCCAGATTCTACTTCGTTCGTGATGTCTTGGATAATGGAGATGTCATATTGGAGAAGATCCACACAAAGAACAACCTTATGGATATGTTGACCAAAGTTGTTTTAGGTGTTAAGTTTGGTCATTGTTTGGAGCTTTTGAACATTCTTCAGTGTTGAGACTTTTGGAGGGCATTTGGGTGAACTACGTGAGGCTTGATTCCTTGGGCGAGAGGATACATAGGTAGTCTTTTCGATGCAGCCGGTTGGATAAGTTGATTTCGATGGGGGGAGATTGTTTGGACTGTCGTTCGGATTCCCGACTTGTTATGGATTGAGTCCGTTGTCGTGAATTAACTTCACGTCGTACTGGACACAACAAGTGGGACATTTGGATGCTTTGCTGTCGGCTCAGTTTTGGAAGAAACTTCACCGAGGTGAAGAATTGTGAACGTACTTTGTTCACGCGTTTTGCTCGTGGGAGCCACACCCACGAGCACCTCCCCACGAGACGCGTTTTCTCGTGGGGGCGTGGGGCCCACACCCACGAGCTCGCATCTCCCTATATAAGCCCTAGTTTCCTAGGGTTTCCGTGGGAGAACGTAGAAGATGGAAAAAAAACTTACGGCTATGAGGGTTTTTGGCGGTTGTCCTTTTGAGAAGAAAAACAGAGAGCCTTTTTCAGATCAAGAGGAGAGGAATTGTGAGAGATTTGAGAGATTGTTTGAGGGTTTTATTTGTGATACCTTGTGTGATTGTAAATCCTATTTGTTTTCTCTTTCTCTCTAATAGTAGATTTTCCCCCTCCTTGCCCCGTGGACGTAGACAACTTGCCGAACCACGTAAAATTCATTTGTCTTGCTGTGATTTGTAATAGCTTGTTAGGTTCTCTCGACAAGTCAGTCCTAGAACTGGTGAGAGGAATAGTGTATATCCCACTTTGTTGAGATATATCACTTTCGATTCTTGTTTCCTTTGTGAAACAGGGATTTAGTTGTGTTCTTACTCTCTTGTTGTGCACCAGAAGTGCTGCTGAAATTTCCGCTGAGCACAACATAAAAGACCTTCATTCTATTTCTAAGTATATTTATTAGATTTAGAACCAAAGTCTTCTCCTAGTGTATGCTAAAAGGAAACACAGAAGAATTCTCTTCATGTATCCAGATTCATGGGTTCATTTTCCTTGTAGGGACCAATTTTAGAACTGAGAAGGCATATATGCATCTTCCTTTTCTTTGACTACATATTTACTACCAAATTTCTTAGTGATTAAACGCAGACTGCAATATTTGAAATATTCTACTATGAATCAAACACTGAAAGGCTTAAGGTACTTGGAAACTGAATTTTCCAACATGCTTTCTTTGAATTCTATGACTAACTGTGACAGAGATATTGGAAAGTTCATCGAGAAACAGGTTACTTTAGCTATTGTTAAAGAAGACTGTAAATTGGCACAAGTGATACTCGGAAATCTAAAATCTTATGAACCTTGTAACACAGCTATTGTCAAATTCAATAGAGGGGGATCATATTTACTAAATTGCATCTTATTGACTTCCAAGATAGAGAATCATAAATCATAAGAATGCAAAGCATTCAAAGCAGTAGCCATTGTCTCTGCTCAACATTCTCTTCCTCTACGCAGTTCTTGCTTTGATATACTGCACCAAGTGCGTTAAGTTTGCGTAAGAAGACCCTCCTTCTTCCACTGTCTTTTGGGCCTTTTCTGCAAACTCCTTTGCTCTCTGTCTCCTCTTTTCAGCTTCATCACCTTCAAACAAACTTCTTACTGCTTTCTCTACATCCTCCTTCTTCACTGATACATCATCAGTATCCATACCCCATATTGTAGGGATCTTGACACCCACAGATATACCAATTTTCAATACTTCCACTATCATTTTCTCGTTTAGAAATTGTTCGGCAAAGTGAGGCCATGTTATCATAGGGACACCGGCTGATATAGATTCCAACGTCGAATTCCATCCACAGTGTGTCATGAATCCTCCAACTGCAAGATGTGATAGAATCATCACTTGCGGGGCCCATCCTCTAATTATAAGACCTCGATTCCTTGTCCTTTTTTCAAATTCAGAGAGCCATTCCTGAACCTCCGAAAACCTCTCTCCAGCTTTGATCACCCAGATGAACGGACAATTTGAAGCCTCCAAGGCTAGGCCTATCTCAATTAGCTGCGAAGGGATTGTACGAGCGAGACTGCCAAAGCTAACGTAAACTACAGAGCTTGGTTTCATTGAGTCAAGCCACATCAAGCACCGTTCTTCATCAATGGAGGCTTTGTTCCCCCTCGCAGTCACATCGACAACATCTCCATTGTAGAGGGACAGCGGTCCAATGTTCCAAACCTTCTTCCCTATAGCACTTTGGTATTGGTCGTGATATATAGTCTCCAAATCATCAAAACTATTTACCACAACACCATCAGATGCCAACTCGGTTGCCCTTAGCTCTTCACGATGCTTATCCATGCTAGGCATCGAGAAGAAGCCTGGCACTTGAGCCCTCATTATTTCTATCCTCATTGGCAAGCCCGGTACAACAAAAGTTTCATTCCCATCGATTATCTTTGCCTCAATCTCGTGGTCTCGCACGTTCTTGATACAAAGGAGAGCAAAGCATCCCATCCCATGAAACGTGAGTCTTGGTATGTTAAACTCCTTGGCTACATCTCGAGTCCAATAGTGAATGTTATCGGAGATGATGCAAGTAGGAAGAGGCTTATAGGCTCGTAGGTGGAGAATGAGGGGGTCACGAAGCATACAAATTGCATCGAAGAAGTTCTTGAGTTGGTCGCGAGAAGGAAGCATATCGATGTTTTCTAAACCTTCTGGCAAACCAACTTCGGCACTTGGGAACTTGAGAGGCACGAAATTGACAGGTAAGCCTGCCCGCTCGATCTTGTCGATTGTGGTGCTTATACGCGCAGCGTTGGCGGGGGTTGTGATGAGGGTGACGATGGCACCGTGACTGGCTAGGAGTCGTGCGATGTCGATCATGGGGATCATATGGCCTTGTGCCATTAAAGGAACCAACACAAAGTGAGGCTTTGTATCAGAGACATTACAGGGTATTTGGATGGTCATTTTGAGTAAGTTTGTGGGTTTCAAGAGCGAATGAGAGGACAAAAGACGCTTGACAGTAATATTTACTCTATTCTCTTATATACAGATGGAGAGGTTCGATAGTTGAGGAATGGTGACGTATGCCATTATGCAAGCAATTTCTATCCAATATGGATTATCGAAAACATTGTAGACTTGAACGCTTTTGTGCACTGTTCTAGTTTGTTTCTTTCCTAGTGCTTCTTTCCTATTTGCTAGCAATCTTGCACCTTCAGAAGTTTTATCCAGGAACAATAATGCTAAGGAGACCCAGTAATGATATCTTGAAGGTTTAACTTCTGGTAGAACGCTTGAGTGAATTTTTTTCTCTTTTACCCTCTGGTAGAAAGAGAAAATTGGCTTTTGACAAATAGACCCCCTAAAGGGTAAAATATATACGCACACAAAAATTTCACTCAGGGTTCTATCTGCAGAAATAAACCCAGAGGGGTAGTAAGTTACTACAGGAGATATACATCAATTAACCATATGTTGAAGTCTGATATTTTATAGTAAGAGGTGGAACCAAGAATACAACCCCAGGACCAGCATGGGAGTAGAATAATATGGAAACTAGTGATGTATGCAATGATGCAAGCAATTCATGTCCAATTTGGTTTGGCATTGTAGGGTTGAATGCTTCTGCATACGATTCTAACTTGTTTCTTTCCAACGAATATCTTTCCTAGTTGCTGTAGACCATATATCTTAAATTCTGGTTTCTTTCCATTGTTTTCTAAGGATAACTCCTTGTAGAACTTCATACTTGTTGTATATGCAGAGGAAAGTACTTTATGAATTTGTCACAGCACAAGTAAAACAGACTGAAAAATATCTGTGATATGTGATGTTCTTTGATGAAAAATTTCTATCTACAGTCAGTGATCAAAGAAATCAGAAACGTGTAGAGAAAATTTTTGTTCTGAAAGATGCATGGTTTCAATGAGCCAAGCCACCTCAAGCACTGATCCATGTTAATAGAGGCCATGTTCCTCCTACCGATCTTATCTCCGACATCTCTATTGAAAAGAGTCAACAGCCCAATAGTCCAAACCTTTATCCCGGTAGTTTTCGGTATCTTTAGCAATCTAACCTCTCCAAATCATCACTAGTATGGGCCACTACACCATCAGACACCAATTCGGCCTCCCTAGTCCCCTCAACATGCATCTTTATGCTCGAAAGAGAAAAGATGGTCAGTTGTGGTGCGACTCAAATCCGTTTAACCGAATCCGAATTATCTCTCACTTTGTCTACGGAGTTTAACCGAAAACATGTTGCTGTAAGTGCTAGGGTGCACATGTTTTTCTTTGGTTAGTTGGGGTTCTATTTGGCCAATTGGATTAAGTCCTATTGTTTATTTGGTAATTTGGAATTCTATATCTTTAGTGGAAGTCCAACAAGGACTCCTATGTTCACAAGGATATTCGCGAAGGCTTTGCCTTTGAATACATCATTGGATGAAGACCGCAAGGTATAGCGTGAAATTACCCTAGAGGAGGTGAATAGGGTATTTGCTAATCTAATCCAATATTAATGTCAAATTAAAGCTTATTAACAATATCCTAGAAATTATGATATACAACAAGATATATGAGCAATGATATGCAATAAAACTAAGGGCGATATAAACATGAGGCAATAGCGATATAGAATGGAATAAGCAATGAGCACAAATAATACGACAAGACAAACTCAAACACACAATATGATCACGTAATTCGGTCCTTCTGACCTACGTCTCCGCTCCCCGCTCCCCGCTCCCGGGGAGAATACACTATCACAACGGGTTTTTGATGTTCACCCAAAACATTTACACCTCACAATCGGTTTTCTAGCTCACCAAAAACTTTTACAATTCATACTCTTACAATCACACTCTACACCCTCTATGTGTTGGCCTAGCCCGTGCCATCTGCCTAAAGTGCTCGGTTTTACAACCTCTCTCTTGGCTCTACTACCGACGTCACTCCTCTTGGAATCGACTTCATCTGTCACCACACATTTCTCTCGGTGTACAAGTATATTACAAAGTGATCTCATAATGAATGCTCAATTACAAAGTTTTATTCTTTACAATGGATGAGAACTCAATTTAACTCACACTCAAGAACTGTTAGACCCTAGAGGGGGGGGGGGGGGGTGATTAGGAGTCTTATGCTAATCTTAATCCCAATTAATAGCAATTTAAATTGGTGGTTGATTAATTTGTTCTTGCAAGAATAAATATGATATGAATATGCAGCAAATAAAGATGAATAATATGTACGGCAACCAAAACACATAAACACACGATATGTCTCACGAGGTTCCCTCGGGTCCCCAGACTACGGTCTCGTCCTTCACCTCGAGGGAGATAGTCCACTATCACAATCCGCGTTTGAAGCCGGAACTTCTACACACTCGCGTTTACAAGTTTCACCGAAAACTCTCCACTACACCCAATCACTCAACCAATCCACTTTTATACACTAAGTGTAGGAACCCGGTTAGCCGTGTTCCTCCTCCTCAACGTGCTCGATTATACAACCTCTCCCCTTAGGTTCGTTCCAATCGACGCCACTCCTATTGGATTTGACCCCGTCTCTTCTCTCCTCCACACTTCTCTCGGTGTCACAAGTTGTGTTACAATTGAATCTCACAAATAAATGTGTCAATACAATGATTTGTGTCTCAATAACAGAGTGGAACACAATATTAAGCCTCACCGATCTACTAGAATCCCACAGCTACAACCCACAATATTAATATTCGAGAATATCAAGCTCAAATATGTGTCGTTGGTGAAATAGGTGGATATGAAATCAATAAATATAAATATCTCAATGAATTATAGCTTATCAAATGAAAGTTAGATAATTATAACTTTCATAGCGAAATGAGTTTAGGAAACACTTTCGTCAGATGAACAACGAAGAGCTGAGTAAGATAATGATTGATTCATAGGGTTTGAAAGCCTCTTCTGTTGTAGAAAACTTATTCTTTGAAATACAGATTTAGATGAAAAACTCTTTAAACAGCTCTTAAACGCCGATTAATAACTTGTTAAACACCAAACTTGGATTTCTTAGTTGTAGAGAGGAAGAACAGCAATGGGGTATATATAGCACCCCAATACAACAGCAGAAAGTAAGAAAAAAGACCAAATACCCAGTTTGAAAACAGACAGAAAAACTAGCCGTTACACAGGTTCTGACACCTCGGCGGTTGACCGGTCCGGTCGACCGCTAAGCTCAAAAGCTCAGATAATGAGGGTTTAGAGCTGGCGGTCGACCGACGTAAATTTCGGTCGACCGGAAATTCTCTCGGTCGACCGGTGCGGTCGACCGAAAGGCTCTCTGGAACTATGCTAAGAAAAAGAACAATTGTCGGTCGACCGTACCGGTCGACCGAAATCTGATATACACAAATTGACAGGTTTTGGGCAGTTTTGAAAATTCGTTAAAAATATCAAATCACATCCAAAAATAGTGAAACTTTGGGTAAAGTTTCTAAATGATGAAATGAACATGTTTGAAAAAGAATTTCTGGAAAATTAATTTTCGTTTGTGAAAACTACCTGTTTTTGAAGAATGCTTAGAAAACCTGTAATTTTTATGAAAGTGAACTTTGATATAGGACTTGTAAATATTCATATATATATTGTGCATATAATATATGTATATAGTGAAGTATGAAGGAGCTGTAAACATGAGATAAAGTATTTTAACAACGTTTAATGAAAAATCATCTATATGATAGAAAACGTCAAAAATCGTGTTAATTGTATATATATTGAGCTTAGATATAATCATACTATATATGTAAGTAAACTAACATATACCTAGGTAAATCCACGCAAATGAACTTGAATCTTTAACGCTTGATTAACGCGTGTTGAAATACCTGAAAAAGAAAACATAAACACAAAAACACTAGAAAATTTATTAGTAATAAATTGTTTGTCAAATCATCATCAAAACTATAGGGTCAATAATCTCCCCCTTTTTGATGATGGCAAACAATTTATACATGAATATGAAATATATACTGATAATCCACATATAAGCCAAAACAAGAGTAAATCATAATAAGACCATATATATATATAAAGGAATCAATTTGTACGCTATATGTGGTATTTTCTCCCCCTTTGACAACATCAAAAAGGGAAAAATAAAAGATAGGAGCAATGCTCCCCCTACTTATAAGCATAGATAAAAAAAAAAAGAATTGTATGTCAAAGGCTCCCCCTGTCAAAAAGAATAAAGAATTGTATATCAAAGGCTCCTCCTGTCAAAAGGACTGAATGACATCTACTGATCATATATACAGGAGCTAAACCAACAACTATCCATCAAACATATGCAAAAATGATACGAGTAACTCAAATTCTATAAACAAAACATGATTATAGTCTTAACCATGCATGATCATACCATGATAAACTGGCATAAGTAATTACAAATCATCATTTTAGCATCATAGATTTGCATAAATATACAAAACCTAAACAGTGCAAAGAACTCATGACAGGCAACTAATATTTACCACACATCAAATTATGAATGTTGTTTCAACAATGCATTGATTTATAAAAGAAATAAATTAAACACAATAGGCCACAAAATATCACATAAGCATTAGAAGCAATATAGTTTTGCACTAACCATGGATTCGTTCACAAGATAGTAAATTATACATAAAAAAATCACACAAAACCATACATAGTTTGTTCCACAAAGTATCATAGAGTTATTACACTCAAATAAAACAGAGTTATAAAATCATTCATCTCCAAAAGAGAACATCAGAAACAAAGATAACCATCACATGAAGAAACTCAAATCAGTCATCTCCAGCATCATCACCACCATCATCACCACCATCATCATGACCACCAGAATCAGAAGAGCCTGAGCCATCAGCAGAATCCCCACCAGAATCAGACTCAGAATTAGAAGGGATCCCGAGAGACTGACGCTGAAATGAAAGAATAGTCCTAACATCCTTCTGAATAGATGAGACTTGCTTCTGAATACCTGAGTACTGAGTCTCAAGGCGATCCAGACGGTCACAAATATCAGAAGTGGAAGAGGTTGAGGCTCTAGAACGGGAGTGAGAAGATGATGAAGGAGTGGAGTCAAGGGCCATCTGCATTCTAGAAAGAGAGACCTTATCAAAGAAATCTCTCGTAGATTCAATCTT